ATATATATATACATATATGTATGTATATATATGTGGTTACACGCTGAATATAGGCAACAGAACAAGGCTTATGTAATTATTTTACTACAAAATAAAAAGTTCTAACACTTAAGGAACAATAATTCCAGTGACTCAAGAGGCTGAGATAGGAGAATCATGAGTTCAAGGCCAACCTGGGCAATGTAGCAAGACTGTCTCAAAAATATAAAAGAGCCAAACATGGTGGTCCACATCCATAATCCCAGAACTGTGGAGCCTGTGGAGGAGGTTCACTGCAAGTTCAAAGCCATCCTGCACTACATAGCAAGCCCTGTCTCAAACAAAACAAAACAAAACCCACAAAAACCAAAAAATAACATCGAAGCTTCAATTTGATCTTTGTAATACTCCTATTTTACTCCCCCTTAGTTGACAATGTTTTGAGTCCTTCATGTTAAACACTTCCAAGAGAATTTTTATACATAGGCAACGTTAGTTCAACAATAAATTTACTTCACAGAAAGCAATCTATACACAATAAAAAGTTTTTTTGCATTTTGTTCCATGTTCTAGATCTAATTCTTTTCATTAATGCCATAATATATAATTCCCAACATACAATGGGCAAATGAACCATTACCTACAATTCTTTAAAAGCAGAGGATTTTTTTTTTCTGGTTTAATGTATTAACGTTAGTAACATTAACAAATATAATCAGCAATACATTGTTTCATGAATAAAGTAACCGCTAGTCTAAACAAAAACTACCCTCAGAAAATATGCAGAACGACTCACCCCCACTCCCCTGGCTAACCTGTGATACACCGCTTCCATAGGTAAATTTTCCTGGCACATGGGCTTCAGCAGCCTTTGCCTGAGGGACCTCTTCTTCTTTAGTATCACTTCCAGATGACTATTCCTGCTTTGCAGGATATGACACTTCTCAGCTACACAAACAAGAAATAGTAGTTACAGTTGGCACCAGGGCAGGTACATTTGGAATCACCAATGCTTTCTTCTTTGGTTTAGTAATAACAATGTTACAACTTAATCCAAGGCCAAGTGCAGAGGCAGGGCCTATATTCCCAGCACACAGAAAACAGAGGCAGAAGGATCCCTTCTGCGCAATTCAAGACCAGTCTGAGCAATACAGCAGGACCACATCTAAGAAAAAGAGAATCCACAATTTCCCTTCTAAATATCTCCCCATTTCCCCATCGCTATCTCTAATTGCCAATACTGATTTTAACTACTTTCTCTCACTTCTCCCACTGATAAACAAATATACAGCTAAATTGTTTTTGAGATAGGGCTTCACTATACAGCCCAGGCTGGTCTGGAATTTGCGTCAATCTCCCTGCTTCATCTGCTGAGCGCTGGGATTACAGGCACCACCAGGCCCGCCTGTTACTCAGTTTTGATAGCCACAGACACAATTCTCACATACAGTCTCTTTTCCTATCCTTCCTCTAATAGCCTACATAGGAACATTAAAAAGTAAATTAGCAGGGTATGGTGAGACACACCTGTAATCCCAGCACTGAGGAGGCCAACCAAGGCTACATAGCGTGTGAGGCCAGCCTGGATTGCATAGCAAGATCCTGTCTCAAACAAACAAACAAACAAACAACCCAGAAAGTAACCTTGCAAGCCCCTTGTGATTATCATGGAATTTTCCTCAGAATTCAGCTAATGGTTGTCAACTTCCCCTTCTATAAAATTTTAATTTGAAAAAATTCAAATTTACAGAAAAGGTTTTAAAATTTTCTGTGAACTTCCATATATATTTTACCTAGATGCACCAACTTTTAGCATTTAGTAACATTTTTTTCCTTCTGTTCTCTCTCTACACTAGCACACGTACAAGCACATGAACCTACCCTCTGTCCTCAAAAATATTCATTTGAGATTATGTTGCACACAGCAAGATCTTTTACCCTTAAAATTCCAGCATGTCTTTCCCAAGAACAGGAGCATTCTGTAATATATACAACTACAGGATGTTATCAAATTCTGAATTTTTTCCCCAAAAACTTAACATCCATGCAAAATTACCATTACTTAATGCAGCTCATATTTAAATGTCAACAAGTGTCCAAATAATGTTCTTTATAGCAACAAAGCAATTTTTTCAAGCTGAACATACAATTCATAATCCGACAGTGCTTAAACTTTCATGCCACATTAATCACCTTCTATCTGGAAAGTTATTCACCTTTGTCTTCATTTTTTCTGGACTCCAAGGAGCAGCTACAGCTTAGATAAAGCCAGACTGTGTTCCCACAGGGCTCATGTGTCAGGAGCATGGTCCCCCCATTGGGGTTGGGAGGCAGTGTAGAACCTCTGAGAAGTGAGGGCTGATGGGAAGTAATTAGGTCAGGAGGGCACTGCCTTGGAGAAACGGATGTAGTTCTGGGCCTCTGTTTACCTATCAGTTTTCTTGGGAGGGTTTTTACAGAGTTCACCTGACCCTTGAATCACTCTCCAGTTTCCTGTCTTGCCATACACCCTCTCCCTCTTGCCAAGTGCTTCACCACAATGATGCTATCTACCTTACCACAGCCAGCCAATGCCATGTCCTCAGACCTTCAAACCTTGTGTTCACTAAACCTCTTTTCTTTTTTTTTTTTGGTACCAGGGATCAAACCAGGGTCCTTGCACTTGTGAGGCAGGCAGCAGAACCACTGAGCTAAATAAATTCCCGGCCCTAAACCTCTTTTCTTTATACATTATCCAGCATCAGATATTTTGGTAAAGTAACAGAAAAGAGACTAATATGGGAGTCAGTTCAATCATATTCTAGACTATCTGCACTAGTCAAGTGTAGAGAAACAGAATATTTTGTTACGTGTGGGGCAATAGCTAGAACAGCTACGGCCCAGCAAAATATTCTGGCTGGTAATCTGAGAAAAAGTTGAAATTCCAATGATTACGCACTTAACCAAACCACTTACCTAAATAGGAAGGATGAACAATATCTGCTGTTTCTTTTTCTAGTTCCAGAAGTTCAATTTCCAGGCTTTTCTACATTAGCAACAAAAGTAGTAACATTCAGCTTACTCAGAGAGGATCCTGAGGCCAAAGGCTCAAGCGCTAATAAAAATGGAACCCTGGGTACCCCCTACACAGGAGTGATCCCTGTGTCACTGCTATACCCCCACCTCCCATCTTACATTGCTTGCTTTGAGTAGCTATGTTTTCCCTGCCCCTGTCTTGTTCATTGCTGAGGACAGGAGACCCTGAAGTTGGGGAAAGGCAGTTGTACAATCAAGGTTCCCGGGGCACAGGAAACAGGGCAGTGGCTAGACAAGCCAGAACATATAGTAGTCTGCAAGCCCCAGAAAGGGCTGATTTTCCCGAGCCTAGGGTGTTTTGAATGGGGCAGTGAAGGGATCCAAATTGTATGTTTAAGAAGCTGAAGGGAACATAAAAAAAGTTCTTCAGATTCATGTGACCCAAGGATGACCTCTGTATGCGTTGGGCTCATACAGAAGACTGGCTACCCTCAGAGAGTCTGACCTTGAGGGAACAAACACCTTCATCTGAAATATCTGGTACAAGGACTCTGCTCCGACTCCTAGTCTGATTCTAGAGCAGACTCCTTCTAAGACACATAAAGCCTTATTGGCATGAGGCCACCCTTGTGTAACATGCTATGCAAGCTAGCAGGGAAAAAGCCAACTTTGGGAGGCTCTTAGTAGAACTGCCTGCAGGGATTCTGCCCAGCAGGACCCAGACCAAACGCTGTGGGGATTTCCCCAGTTGTCTTCAGGTGTTGAGCTGAGCTACTACCCTGACTGGTGATATGTTAAAACTGCATGCAGGGGGCCAGGGATTTAGCTTAGCGGTTCTGCTGCCTGCTTCAAAAATGCAAGGTGTTGAGTTCGATCCCCAGTACCAAAAAAAGGGGAGGGCCAGCGATTTAGCTCAGTGGCGCCACCGCCTGCCTCGCAAGTGCAAGGTCCCAAATTGGATCCCTGGTACCAAAGCAAACAAAAAAAAACTGCATGCAGGACTTCTCTACCCAGCGGGACCTCAACAAACTGCCCTCTCGGGACTCCCCCAGTTGTCTTCAGATGTTGAAGCACCATCCCAGCTGGTGATACATTACTTCTGTCATACTTTTTTTTTTATTCTTATTGCTTAACTTTGTAATAAAGCTATCTTTACTTTCACTTTCTTATGGTATGGTGTGACTTTCACCACAGAAAAAGCCTCAATTTAACTAAGTGGTGCACCCTAGTAGCTTGGCATTAATCCTTGCTATAACAGAAGCTTGCCACAGCAAGGCATGGTGTCATATAACTGTAATCCTGGCACTCTAGGAGGCTGAGGTAGGATGGTCACAATTTTCATCCCAGCCTGGGCAACTTATCAACTTAGCAAGAACTTGTCTAAAAAAATTAAAAAATTAAAAATTGGCTGAGTATGTAGCTCAGTGTGAAGGCCCTGAGTTTAGTTCCTAGTAGCAAATGTGTATGTGGGGGGAGGCTCCCTCTGAAGCCAGGCATGGTGGTAAACACCTGTAATTTTTTTTTTTTTTTAAACAGGGTCTGCCTATGTAGTTCAGGCTGGCTTTAACTCACTATGGAGTCCAGATGGTCCTCAAACTCACAAGGATACTCCTGTCTCAGACTCCCAAGTGCTAGGATTACAGGCATGCACCACCATGCCTGACTACACGGGCAATTCTCGCTCTAATGTTAGGCCTTGCTAAATTGCCCAGGCTGGGTTTAAACCTGTGATCTTCTTGCCTTAGGCACCCAATGTGTTGGGTGTACAGGCATGCACCACTATGCCTAGCTTGCTCTATTTCACCTGAAGATTGAACCCAGTACATACCAAGCAGCTGCACTATCATCCCAACTTGAACTACATCCCAACTTGAGGTTTGTTTGTTTTTTTCCCGTAGAAGCAAATAGTGAAAAGTTCAACATAAATTACCTGATAGATTTCAGCTTGAATATCTGTGGTCTGCTGCAGGCTGGAGAAGTTCACAAAGCAAGGAGCTGATTTCTTTGATATGTTTAACATCTCCTATTGGTAAATGAACAGGGAAAGTAGAAAGTAGAAAGCATCTGTGTATAGTGGAATAGCATGCCCATAGGACTAAAAGATGACATTATGTCCAACACTGGTCCTGAACATGAACTACAGAACAAAACAGTAACAATGTATATTTTCCGTTTGTAGAATGGTCATTGTCACAAATCTTTGGTCTAAATGATTAAAAAGTGAGAAACAGACAAGACTATTGGTACTATTTCCTTTTTTTTCTTTCTTTGGTACCAGGGACCAAACTTGGGTCCTTGCGCTTGTGAGGTAGGCGGCGACACCATTGAGCTAAATCCCCAGCCCTGATTGATACTATTTCCTAAAACCTACAAGCTAGCTCTAGACAAAAAGAGTAAAAAATAAACATTACTCACAAGCTTCTTTGAAAAGGAGGAAATACAGTAGAAGACTCTAAGATTGCCAACAAAAAGAAAGTTGCATTTAAAAGAAAATACCAAGAATCCTACTTAAATTATGGGTTCATTGCCACAGGTGAGTCACATTCTCCAATCCCACTTTGTATATGTGGTGACTGCTATCCAAAAAAGCCATGAAACGTTCAAAACGTTTCTGCCACATGGAGGTCAAGTACTCTTAAAAGATAAGCTTTAGAGTTTCTCAAAAGGAAAAACCACAAACACAAAGAGCAGAAGCAATTAGTGAAGGCCACCACTTCACCAAATGTGTCTGCCCTTTTGGGAGAGCAACATTCTTCATGCCTAAGTCCTTTACTATTGGTGAAGGGTTGGTTCTGGCTGCTGCTAAAGATATATTTCATGAACTTTTAGAAGAGGCTGCAGTTCCAAAGGTGGCACTTTCAGCTAGCACCTTAACTAGATGGACTGATAAAATAGCCAAGGACACAGAGAGACAGTCAGAGAGGATTAATGCGTCACTGTGCTTCACAATCCAGGTTGATGAATCTACCAATAATACCAGGCAACAATGCTTGTTTGGGGGGATATATCTTTCAAAAGGATATGCATGAGGGTATGTTATGTGTGCTTTTGTTGCCAACCAACATTATAGCAGCAAAACTAGTCAAGTCTTTCAGGAAAACTAAAGTGGGCGTTTGTCTTGGTACATGCATGGACAGAGAGGCTGTCATGACTGGATGGCTTTCTGGTTTCACTACTTGGGTCAAAGAACTCACTTCCAAGTTTGAGTCTACAAACATCCATGAGAAATACTGGCTAGCTGAAAAATGTCACCAGAACTTAATATTTTACAGAATATGTTTAAAATTAGCAACCACATTGAAGTACATGAAACTGGTCCCTGGTGCCAAAAAGGTTGGCAATCTCTACCGTAACTAACCAATCTAAAAACAAAACAAAAAAAAACAAAAAAAAAACACAAAAAACTAGTGCACGATGTTCATAGGCTGGATATTTAAATGGGTGATTGCTACAATATTTCTGGCCAGATGATGAGAATATGTACTAGGACAGCAGATATTAAAAATAAGAAAAGGCTGGAGATGTAGTTCAGTGGTAGAGTATTCTCCAGTAACACACATAGGTGTATACATAACACATGCGCAGGCATACATGTGTGCAGAGTGTAATACCGGTGCCAAGGGTTCTAAAAGGATGGCTATGCCCTTAAGGTAGATAACACAAGCTATCTTAGATGGGAAATGTTTGTCAGGGTGGACGTGAGAACACATGTAATCCACTTCCTTTCCATCATATCAGACTCACACTGTTACTCTTCTTTCTGTTCTCTTGGGTAGAAAGCAAAACATCTCCCATAACACACTGTAACTCCACTCATTATCTGGTATATCTCCATCCTTCCATGTGTACACACTACTCCTCTTAGTTACATGTACAGTAAACTATTAGATTCAACAACAGGTTAACAATGCTTAACTGACTGCAAATGAAACCAGAGTGACAATAAGAATGTCCAAGAACGGAATGCAAAAAAGGAGGAATGAAAGAGGGACTAAACTCTCCTAGTAAATAAAAATTATAACTATTTGAGGATTATGACTTATTTCTTCATTACAAAAAATAAAAAATAAAAAAAGCAGAAATTAAAGAATAAAAAAAAATCCTTACCTTCAGTTACTGACATTATATATTATATACTCTACATGCTACTAGAATAAAGGGGTCCAAAAGTGAAAGGATTTTAAGAAAGGTAGTCTATGTAGGACATAGGATATTCTTGTTTATTGTGCAGCCAGGCACAATAAGAAGTTGGAATCCAGGATCTTTATGTTTAATACAAGAATCTTCAGCCCAGGTATGGTGGTGCATACCTGTAATCCCAGCACTAGGAAGGCTGATGCAGGAAAATCATGAGTTCAAGATCTGTCTACATTATATAGTAAGACTGTTTCAAAGGAGAGTGGCACAGCATAGCAAAGGAGTTGGGAAGAGGCCCTTGACAGGGGTAGTGGTGCAGACCTGTAACCCCAGAACTCTAGGAGGCTGACAAGAAGTCCAATCTGAGCAATTTAATGACTCAGACCCCGTTTCAAAAATTAATTAATTTAAAAAAGGGGGGCCAGGGATTGCAGTTCAGTGGGAAGGCCCTGGTTCAATCCTCAGTACTACAAATAAATTCTTTAAATTTTTTTTGAGGGGGGTGGGTACCAGGGCTTGAACTCAGGTCCTTGCATTTGCAAGGCAGGCGCTGGAGTCACTGAGCTAAATCAGCGGCTCAAATGCATTATTTTATTTATTTATTTATTTATAAATTTTTTTCCAAATACATTATTTTTTAAAAGGGCTGCCCTGGGTTCAATCCTCAGTACTATATGATGGACAGGAAAAGGGAGAGGGAGGGAGAAGCTCTCAAATAGAAGAGGGAGTGGAAAAAAAGGGCAGGACACAGACTGAGAAATTAAGAGTAGACGCAAAGATTTTTTTTGTAGGTCCAGGTCCAGATCCTTATACAATACCAGCAGAAGAAACTTTGATTAAAACTATGACAAACTAAAGCAAATACTTCATTATCCTACATACAGTTAAACCTAACTTTCTTTCACCAAATCATTCTCCCAATGAACGCAAAAATGAATAGTGTTCCAATAATGAACTCGCTGATAAATTAAGAAATATCATTCACAATAGTATCAAGAAAAATTAAATACTAAGGAATTAACCTAATCAAGAAAGTAAAGGACCTCTACAATGAAAACTACAGTACTCTGAAAAAGATCAAAGAGTCCATCAGAAAACAGAAAGCTATCCCCTGCTTCTAGATAGGTAGAACCAATATAGTCAAATAGACATTACTTCCAAACTGATAGATAGATTTAACACAATACCAATCAAAATACCAATAGCATTCCTCTTTGAACTAAAGAACCCAATCATAAAATTCATACAGACCAGAAGAGATCCAGAATAACAAAAACAATTCTGGGTAACAAGAGCAAAGCAGAAGGTGTTATAATCTCAGATTTGAAGTAACATTACAAAGTCACAGTGATAAATAAATATAGCGTGGTACTACCACAAAAGACAGACATGTAAATCAGTGAAATAGAACTGAGGAAACAGAAATAATCCCAGGCACTTTCAGCTATTTGATCTTTGAAAAGGGGGCCAAAAACATACATTGAAAAAAAATCATCCCCTTTAAAAAATGGTGCCAGGAAAACTATTTACATGCAAAAAGACTGAATATAGATATGTATATCTCACCATATGCTAAATTAAAATCAAAGTAGATCTAAGATTTAGATGTTAAAACAGAAACAATCTGCTGGAAGATAATATACATAAAATTCTTGACTGAAGTCATAGGCATAGGCTGGGACTTTCTGAACAATATCCTGAGGGCTCAAGAGATATTACCAAGAATCAACAAATAGGATCATACTAAATTAAAAAGTCTCTGCACAACAAAGGAAATAGTAGACAGAGACAATCTACAGAATGGGGGAAAATTATTGTCAGCTCTTCTTCAGAAAGAAGACTATTATCTAGACTATATAAAGACTTCAGCTGGGTGTGGTGGCACATGCCTGTAATCCCAGTACTCAGGAGGCTGAAGCAGGAGGATCACTGTGAGTTCCAGACCAGCCTGGGCTACATTGTGAGTTCCAGGTCAGTCTCAACCACATAGTGAGACCCCATGTAAAAAACAAAAAAAAAAAAATTTCAAAATAATTAGATCTTCCTCCAAATACCATAAAAAAATTCAATCAAAAGATGGGCAAGGGCCAGGGATTTAGCTCAGTGGTTCCACCAACTGCCTTGCAAGCACAAGGTCCCAAGTTTAATCCGGTACAAAAA